TCTAGACGTGTTTGGGTTACAACCAAATCCCATTTGGATAAATCCCATTTGTTTTTGCATTTGAGCCGAGCTCACGGCATTTTGAGACACTTCAGTGGAAAAAAAATCTTAGGACAACAAGATGAGATGACAGATTTGGTGAGTTGTTCCTTGTTGGAGGAGGACCAACGTTTGATGTCGAGCATTTATTCTGGTGTTGAGGCTTTGACATATTTGGGTCATCTTGGTCATAGGTTATCGACTGCTACGATTGGAGGTAAAACTTTATTGGATGTTTGGTCTGGTAGTGTCACTTCGTTTGAGGCTTCGATGAGAGAGCTAATTAACTCTCAGCAGGTGGAGAGTTTTGGACAGATTTTAGATGTATCGTAGTGGGTGGAGAGTAATGCTACTCCACATTAGGTGGAGATTACTCCACATACTCCAGATCATTCTACATCATTTGGGATTCCAGCTGAGGTGACAAAGTTAGGGGATCATTTGGATTTGGGTGCAGATGATGAGTTGGTTGATTCGAATGCAGCTGGTGGATATGATTTGGATACGGCCATTGGTTCACCTCAGGTGGAGGTATTTGATTTGTTTCACTTTGGGGCCATTAGGAGCGTCATCAGTTACAGATCCGTTGGTGATATTGGTAAACAGTTACAAACTTTTCTATTTGATTGAGGGCCTTTGGAGACCGTTTGATAAACTACGGGCGGTTTGATCCCTTGGGAGAGGGGGTACGTAGGCAGTCAATTTGATGCAGGCGGTTTGGTGAGTTGATACCGATATTTGGAGAGTGTTCACATTCTTGTTTGGGTCTCGACTTGTTGTGGATTGAGTCTGTTATCGTGGTTTTGTTCCACTTTGTACTGGACGCAACAAGTGATACGTTTGATTTGGTTGGTGTCGGCTCAGTTTTTTGAAAAAACTTCACCGATGTGGAGAATTGTAAAAACGGCGAAGGAATTGAGGAAAAGAATTGAGAAAACGTGAAAAATAAGCAAGACATACTCCACCACACCCTGGTGTGGTGTCTGCCACACCCAGGTGATAGGGTGTGGCAGAATCTGCCCTGTTTACATGGGTGTGGTGTCTGTCACACCCTGGTGTGACAGAATTTTCTCTGTTTGTCATGGGTGTGGTGTGTGTCACACAAGGGTGTGACAGACACGTTTTTAGAATCTTAATCTGTTTGGGATTGTGTTTTGTTATAAATAGAGCCACGTTTTTTAGGGTTTTCTATCGATTGATTGGGTAGCTTGAAGGTGATTTTGAGCACAAAAAATAGAGATCTTTCTGAGCAATTTGTTTGAGGGTTTAGTTTGAGAGATTTGAGAGATTTGTTTGAGAGGTTAGTTGAGTGATCTTGTAATCTCTACTTTGTACTCTCTTTCTCTATAGTGGAAACTCATCCCTTTTTGCCCTGTGGACGTAGGCAATTTGCCGAACCACGTTAAACATTTGTGTTTGATTTGGTGTCGTTATTTTGGATTGTTTTAGCTTTCTTTCTCGGCGTTTGTGTTGTTCCGCCGCGCACAACACATAAAAGCAAGACTTTGCGTTTGTGTTTGAGTTGGTGTCTGTTTGTTTGCCTAAAAAAGTGGGAAATCAAAGAAATGGAAAACTATTTCTAAGAAGAATTGTTTAACAATAGAAGAATATATAGGGAAACTAAAACTCTATCTCTAGCCTAACTTCCTAATTAGAATAGGATTCAAACTCCTAATCATGATGAGACTTAATCTCCTAATCATGATAGATCTCTAACCCTATCTAATTCTCATGAGGTTATACAAAGAATCCAAGACATAATCCTAACGATAATTGGATTCGAAAGCTGAAAGGATGTAGAAAGTGCAATAATAAGAGAACAAATGCAAAACTTAAAGGAATTAAGATAAAAAAATCAAAAGAAAGCTAAATTAATTAGAAGATAAAGGAAACGCCTACCCTCCTTCGCAACTTTCTCCTTGCATATATCTAACTAAAATTTGATGAGAATCCTACCTACCTTAGCTGATAGCATCCGACAGACACAGTACATTATAATTTATATATGCGGTTAGCATGTCATTATGCAATAATGTCAACTTTAATGATAGGGCAACTAAGCTAATGGAAAGGAAGTTTTCATTAAAAAATAAAAAATAAATTTAGCTAAACCTCTTAAATTTTAGGAGTTATTGCACGAAACCCAGCAAAATGTCTTATTTCACTAAATCTTTACCTGAAATTTTATCCTTTAATCCCTATATTAACACCATCAATTCTAATGTGTCATTAGTAATTAAGCACATGAAAAAAAAATGAAAGTTCCCTTCTCAGTCCCAAAAAAATACCATTTTATTAAAAAAGGATCAATAGTTTTTTTTTTTTTTTGACTAAGGATTTATTTTTATCTTTTTTTGGCACATGCTTGTAGCATGAGATGTTAGAATCAACTGTACTATTTTGGAAATTAAATGAAAAAAATTTAGGTGATATTTAGTGAAGTAAAATAGTTCATGGGGGTTATGTGCAACAACTGCTGAAGTTCAAGGAGGTTTACTGAAAAGAGATGATGGGGGTTTTCTGCAACTCCCCAATGTTCATAGGGTTTTTCTGTTATTAACCCTTATATTATATTTATGCAAATATGCAGAGCACTACTCGAAGTTAAAGCTCCTCTATTTATTTTCATTCCAATAGAAATATCTTGCAATTGGGGGCCTTACCGCAACTTTAATCGAGATTGCTATCGCCGAACTAACGAGGCCCATTTGAGGATGAATTTATTTCCCAATGCTCTCATAATATATATGGGCCATAGAAACAAGGATTTTATTTATTTATTTATAATGATGATGACTGATGAGAAACCAGGATTGCTTGAAAACGTGTGTGACATAAATTGCTCTGCTAAAATACCAATTTAGCTTATAAAGTGACACATTCAGACAAATAAGACCTAAAGTGACGCCGGTGATAATAGCACCTATAAATTGACACAGTTAATCACTTAAACCTACTTTGATCACCAGAATTTTGGTTTGACCGCGAAAAGTATAAATTTTTTGCATATATACCTATCATATCTCTCACACTTATTTATTTACCATCGAAATTTTAAAATATTTATAAAAAAATTTCCTGCCCCCGCCCTCCACCCCCCCCCACCACCCACGCACCACCCACCGCCGCACCATGATTCTTTCATCCGTTTTCTTCTCCCCTCTATCCACATCCTCTCCACTTTCTCCTTCCCAAAATACTCCCCCCCCCCCACCCCACCCACCCCCAATTGTCTCCTTCACATAACACTCAACCCCCCCCCCCCCCCTCCCCAAACGCCTCTCTTCCGACGATCATCTCCTTCATCCTCCTCTTGTCCCTCTATCTTATTCTCTCCACTTTCCTCCTTCCTAAAATACTTCATCCCTATTTCTTCCTGTCCCAAATCTCCCTCCCTCCTCCCTCCATCTTCCACCATCTACTTCGTCCTCTTCTTCTCTCCTTTTTTACTCCCTCTCTGGTTTCCTCCTTCCCAAGATCCTCACCTTCACCTCCTGCTCTCCCTCCGACACTCATGTTCCTCTCCTTAACCTCTCTCTATTCTCTCATATGTCTTTCTCCTCACTTTCCCTCCTCTCCTTTCCTTTCTCTCCTCTCTCTTCCTTAAACACTAATTTAAAATAGAAGGGGGGAGGTTGAAAAGAAAGAGAGAGTTAGGTTTTTATACAAATATTTTAATTTCGACGATAAATTCATAAATGTGAGAGATATAAGGGTATATATGCAAAGTTTATAATTTTCTTGCACAAATCAAAATTTGAAGACTAGAGTAGGTTTAAGTGATTAATTGTGTCAATTTATAGGTGTTATTATCGTATTTTTAGACCTGATTGATCAAAGTGTGTCATTTTGTAGACTCAATTGGTATTTTGACCTAAATAGCTCATAAGATCATTATTTGATGGACCATGAGAACCATTCATAAGCAAAAATAGTCATGAAAAATGATGGGCATTATCCACGACCTGTATTTTGAGCAACAAAACAAGTTTAGCATAAACTCTATGCAAACAATCCCTTGATGTGTGAAAAGACTCAATTATTACATCAAAATTCTAAATTTATGGTGAAAATTGAGGGTTATAATTTTATATTATAACATGTTCACACAGGTTGAAGGCTCTTTTATGGACAAAAATATGAACCAGCTCGATTTTCTTTTCCGCTTAAAATTTCTAGCGAGTAGGATTCAAATCTCAACTTCAAACTAAATCACTGAACAATATTATGCCATCGCCATTGTTGCCAACACCTCAGCGATCTTATGGTGGTGATATTTCAATCTTAATTCCAGTTAGGACGAGTTACCTCCCGATTAAGAGTTCAAGTCTCTAAACAAGAAAATGTTCCATCTTTTTGAAAATTATTAAAAAAATTTATAGTCGTATGAACATTTGTAGGTGAGAAGAGAAGGAAAGAATGTCCCTGTATGAGAGAATTGATGGGTAAACATTGCGCTTTTTCTTCACTAACTTTTGTCTACTTCCCAATAATACTTTTGAAAGGACCTATTTCCGTCAATAGATGAGCAAGTACAAAGTACAAGGAGAAAATTAACTTTGAAGCTCAAAGCCTCATGACTCATGAGCCCCTAACTCTAGTTTTCTATAAAGCTACTAAACTATCTTTCCAATCTATCAGGATCCTAAAACTTTTAACTTCTATTCCCTCACGTAATTTTTAATCCCTATGTCATTTTCAGTCGTTAATAATCAATGTTCTGGCTTCGGTGCATGATGTAGTAATGAGATGTTTTATCATGTTTTAAGATTGTACTGTAATTAGTTGAGCGACCATCTTTGTTGTTGATAAATTTGATTACGTTAAATTATCTCTATTTACCTTTTAAAACCTATCATTGAGTCGCTGGCCCAATTAACTAGGCCCATGTTGACACGTACGGACGTACCCTATCTCTTCATCATATTTCTGAAGAAGTTAAAATACTTGATGAATGGCGATCTTAAAAAACTCTGAATAGCTCGCAAGCAGAGAACCATAGATTCAGCTGAAATAAAGGGCCACAGAAATGTCGAGACATTATCCGTATTTTTAGTTTGAACCAGAGAGCAACAAAGCTCCATGGAAGCAATCCTTTACTCATCTCGTTTGCTTTCAATTCCACCGTCATCCCTCTCATCTCTAGCCAAACAACCAACTCAACAAAGAAGAACAAGTTCCCTCTTCATCACGAAACAAAAGAAACCGCTCGCTTCCAATTATCGACTTCGAATCAGAGCACTGAACACTGCAGTCACCATTGCTGTGAACTCCTCAGCGCATGGTGGCGACATCTCGGTCTTAATTCCTGTTAGGTGAGTTTAAGTGATATCCTTTTGAACAAACCAAGATTATTAGATAGTGAAATTATATTCTGTAACCTTTTTTTTTTGTGTGTTACATTACAGTGCGGTGCTTTTGTTTATGTACTGGATAGCCAATTTTGTCGTGCCTGATATCGTCCAGAAAGACCTCCAGGAAAAGGATTCAGGGGCAGGAGAGGAACCAGGACAGCAAATAAATACGTTTGACAGCAGAAACGATGAGGAAAATTCCACGAGCGAACCAAGACAGAAGCTAAAGAAAGCAGACCTTAAGAAGATGTTGAGACCGAGACGGAAGATACCGGAGGCAGAAAGATGATGATGACTCTAAAATCAGAAATAGATGTAGATGAATTTTACACTGTAGTTTTCCCTTCAGTAGTGCTATTTGGTAAATGATTGCTTTGTCCAATAAAAGCCTATGCAAGTTCGCCGTGGAACAAAAGTCCCGCACGGTTCTTCAGCACAAATCAAAGACAATATTGAAGAAAAAATAGATGGTAGCCACTGCACGTAGTGGAGAAATGCGCACGATATATATATAGATTCAATATAAATTCAACCCAGAACCCGTAAACATTATTTACAAGTTATGGAGTCGGCAACACTTACTGTACATAAGTTCCTCCATGGGCTTACACGAACTTCCACACTTTCTAACCCCCCAAAAACAGCAACATGAAATTACAATCTGCAAGATCACCCACATAAAGACCAAAAAGTTTAAGCCTTCAGAAAAACGTCATCTCCCTTTCTTTTAATTGAATGAATCAGTAACATGATCATAATATCGTGTACATTATATACAAACAATTTATTGCTCGGCAAATTAAACCATTCTCTCTCTCTCTCTCTCTCTCTCTCTCTCTCTCTCTCTTATCTTTCCCCTTTTTCTCCCCAAGTATGTCTATAATTACAACAATGAATTTAAACAATCGTCCAATCACCTTCATCCAAGGAATCCATCTTGGAAGATGGTGCTTGATTGGCTTTTGGAGTCTTTCTTGAAAATAAAGATGCCTTCTTATCGAAAAGGTTAGAGAACATATGCTTCTCATCTGCTTTCTTCTCATCCTTTACTTCATGCTTCTCATCCTTTGATGCTTTTCGACGCAAAGGCTGCTTATCTTTATTGATAAAGTTCAGGTTAAATTTCTTGAAGAGGCTTCCTGATTTCCCAGATACTGGTTCTTCTGGTTGGTCGATGATCATTATGGCTTCTTCCGGATGGATGACAATAGTCTCTACTGTTTCATATACCTAAAAGAAGCATCCAATCTTTTAAATAAATAAAAGTAAATTTGTACATCCCCACTGAGAGAGAGAGTACCAAAGTACCTTGCAGATGTCTCCCATGTTTTCACTTGAAATGCCAAATTGGCAAGTTGCGGTGACATAATCTTTACATTCTTGAAATAGTGTGGACAAGTTGCTTTCAACAGGAATGGCAGCTTCAGCAATTAGGAAGCTTGAGCACAACTGGGAATTTCATACAGTGGAGGATGAAACTCAGAAAGAAAATAATCTGAAAAGTTAATTTGAAAATGATATTTAACTGGCAAGGACGGCAAAGGATTATGTATTTAGGACAAAAAAAGAAGAAATGTATTTCTCTCAGCCGCTTGTTATGAGTAACAAACTGCACAACAGGATCTGGAAATTTGACACTCAACAAATGATTACATTTTTTTTAAAAATAATGTAAAATAATAAACCTGTCTCGCCACTTAAACTAGGCTCCAGATGGTGGCAATCTGGTGGCAATCTACCAATGTTACTTAAACCTTTCCTCTGATAGTGGAATAGCTGTAGCGTGAAGGCTATGATCTTTCCAGAAATTATTAAAGAAAAAACAAACAACAATACAAACTAGGAGGTTATAGAGAATATGAAATTGCAATTAACTCCCCCTGGCTATCTTCACCACCAAGTTTGTGTGCGGGGGTGATACTATCTATAAAGGCAGATTAAGCACACATGCCACAGGCAGGCAGATAGCCGGTAATGCCTCCTTGAATTACAATGGTTCCAGGATCTCTAGTTTGATGTAGCCACCAGATCCCATAACAAGTGAGACTAGGCCCACAGCATAAGTAATTGTTCCTTAAATATGTCTTGTGAGATGAATGCAACAGCAAGAAGTAAAATTTTCAAACCTTTTCAAATGTAACTTTTTTTTGGAGGACAAATGCAACATGTTGACTGACCTAAAATATGTTAAAATATCACACATGAAATAACACATGTCAATAAGGAATTGAAAGAGTTATACTAGACATGTATTGCAAAATATAGGTGAATAGACAACAGGAAGTCATACCAAGGAGATGAAAAGCTGCTCAAAGAGCTCTCGTGGCTGGATGTCCTCCAAGGTAGTTAGAATGCTATCACTACAAAATCAAAAAGGCTCATCTCATATAAACGGTGAACAACAGTAAATGCCTCATTCAGTTATCTACTTACACTGCTAGGTCCTCATCATAGAGTGGAACTTGTTTAATGGCAGGCAAAGGTTTGGCAGACTCCCATAGTTCTCTCCATAAATTACCTATAAATGCCAGAGGGAATTTATTTAAAGAATAATCATATTTCGGTATGTTCATTTCTGAAATAAGTATGATAGGTAACTTTGGAAAGAAAACCTGAGTTGAATGCATGTATGTCATACATCCACTTCAGTACAATAAGCTGAACCTATATGAGATAAACCTGTATGTTTCTTATTCACATATTATATCCCATGGATTACGAAAGGGAAAATGTGAATCATGAAATTACCCAAGTGATCCTATGGAACATACTGATACAATTTCACTTAGACAACCAACTCTGAAGTCTGTCTTGCTCATGAAGCTCATGTTGCCAACCAGAAGATACCAATATAATACTACGAGTTAGATGCACGTATGCCTGCAGCCAGGTCAGCCAACCAGGAAATAAACCGAGACTACAGAACATACGCATCTTTAAAAGAAGACAATAAGCAACCACATAGGTAAGGAAACAACCGCATAGGTAAGCAAATAGTGTTAACTTTGCAACAAGCTTTGCTGTGTGGTACCTATATGTGACCCATTATTTCATCATGAGAAAAAAGGTCCATGGTCTTCTTCAGTCGCATTCTATTGCCATAGGCTTGTCAAATGTATTCCTTCCAGATCATAGTTATCAGTACAATCTATTATGTTTTTCCAAAGTTTTTAGACCGAGGCAAGTGATCTATGAAAAGATCAATGATTTGCTTTACTATTTTTAGTCAATTATCATTCAGCTATTGATACTGAGAACTGATAAAGTCTACCGCAAGAGAATCTAGAGGACTTCAGGAGCAAATCCTATCAAAGTCATGCAACAAATGAGAAAACATTCACATGATTATAAGTAACTTAACTATATTTATCTTAACAAGTTAAAAGAACACTTCAATTCAAAAGGAAAAAATCACGAGAATACAAATTATATGGGGAAACAACTTTTGTAGTTAATGTGAGGATGGGGAAAATTTTCTATGAGATGAACAATGATAGGATTACTTCCTATAGCCAAATATATTTATGAGTTTTAATTCTCAATGAAAACTTGACCACATGATTTTAATAGGACCATTGCCTTAATAATAGTTATCAACAATGCAAATGTTCAGGAGCAATTCCTACTGGGGACTAGTTACAGAACAAGAGTTAACATCATTGCATCTATCTTAGAAATTTGGAAGAGTACTTCAAGCACCACAGGTATAAATCATGAGAATGTAAAATATGCTGGATATAAATTGGGTTTTCTTTTTTTCCCCTTTTTTTTGGGTTTGGGGGGGACCACATACCAGAGCTTACAATTTGTCAGTTTCTAAGGAAAGAGCACGAAACGTGTGATTGAGTGAAGCATGGAACAATTTCCCAGTTATGCATGCATGTAATCACAAGTTACAATAGTTTACTAAATTAACTGCCGAAGGGTAAGAGTCATAAGACTTAACCTTCTTTCTGCATTCTTGCACTTAGTCGACCTCGTCTGGATGATCCTTCTGCATCAGCTGAATCATTGGTCTGATCATCTGATTCTGTGTCTGACCAGTCTGGTGGAGAGTGCCATCGTACAAAGTCTTCCAGAACACAGCCAGGATTTGCAGCCTGGCAGGCAACAGTAATGTGTTAGTGTCAATGTGTCCTAGATACACATGGTGTATTATTTCTTTTCTTTATAGTAGGTCGCAATCCAGTAAAAAGATGAGATATGAAGAATATTGACATTTCTAGATATGATCTTGATTCTTAAAACTTACCTTAAAAGCTTGCATGTCAGAGAGCAGCTGAGAACACCCGGCACCAACACTGTCCATAAGAATATAAAATTGTTAAATTGCCGTAAGTTGGAAGCTTCTTCCTTTAAACTGTGTCTCAGTTCACTCCAAAACAAAAGGATCTTTTTCTCAAGGCTTTAACATTAGAATCATGATTTGGAAGAATTTCACTGTAGATTAAGTAAATAAGCCTGCAATGATATTGATGACCATCTTGTGAAAACATAACAAAAAAGAAAAGGCAATATGCTATTGGATAAGAGTTTTGGTTGGCTAACGGTTATTTAGGATGTTTATTGTACAAATTCAGTGTCGCTGCTTTACTTCAGTTATTTGCAGGGATTAAGCTGTGACTATCCAGATTAGACCAGTCTGAATTAAATTTTGATGATTAGGAATAAGAATTTGGTCTGATTTAGAGTTATACAAAAAGAGACATGCATGTAACGTTAGAAGGGAATATTTTCTTGTGAAACAATATTTAGCAATAAAAAAATATTTTTTCATGTGTCCAGGTAGTGTCTAGAGGTGACTATGAATGTCACAACGATTTGGATTTCAAAGAAGGATTTAAGCATACTACACTTGTTTAAAGAGAAACAGCAAGAAAATGCACTTGATTTGAAGCTTGAACATCTTCCTTTTGAAGTTAACTAGTGTCTCCCAGTTTCCTCTTATCTTGTAGACAAATGCAGATATGAATTGCTTTATGCACAATGGAGAATTTCAATATAGTTAGAATTTCTGTTCCCATTAGGAAAATCGCCATCTTTAATGGACTTTGGACAGTACCTGGGTCTACTTCAGTTGGAACGAGAACAACTGACGCACGTGATGCTGCGGCATTAATGTGAAAAAGGCAAACAACTAATGCTTTAAGCATTTGGTTTAGAAATTTTTAAATTCGTGGATAAAAATGTTTTTGAGAGTTGTACTGCAGATAATTAGTGTGATAGGAACAAAAAGATATAGGTTTAAGCATTTAATATTGGGATTTCTTTTTTCTTTTTTTCTTTTTTCTTTTTTTGTGAGAAAACGGAAAATGGTTTAGGCATCTACACAGTGATAATGTTCTTGCTAGTTGTACTAGAGATAAATAAATGTGGAAAATGATAACTTTTTAAGGCATTTGGTTTAGAAATTTATTGTTTAATTTGCGTATAGCAACGTTTTTGGGAGTTGTGGTACTATAGATAAATTAGAGTGGAAGAAGCCGAAAACAATAATAGTTTAAACATCTGGTTTAAAATTTTCTTTTTAGTTTGTGGATGAAAATGTTTTTTTGGAGTTGTGTTGTAGATAACCACACTATATTAATATTTATATCATATCTATACTTTTATATTTATGGTTTTTTTATTTATTGGGTCTTGCTTTAACCATGAGCGCTCACCAAGCTTGGATTCATGGCCTTCGCCTAAGCACAAGGACCCAGCTGATCCATTATGTAAATTTTTTATCTTAATGAGAAAAGAAGACTGAGTTCCATTCTTATTGAGATCAGGGGAGTAAATTTTGTTGTATACCTGTTGGCCAATGGGGAGAGAGGATAGTTAGACGGAGAATGACCTTTTCTTTTTTTTATTTTGGTTTACTTTCACTTTGATACCCTAAAGTTTATCCATATTTTCACTTTGATTACCCGAAGTATCTTTTTAGCACTTTGATACCCCAAAGTTTCAATCACATGTCACTTTGATCCCCAAAGATATTTCTAAACACTTTGATACCCACAGTTTCAATCACATTGCACTTTGAGTTTGATACCCTGTCGATACATTAGATTTTCTCTTAAATTTATATTACGCCCTTAACATGTGATACATTTAGATACATTTACCCAGTTGCTAAACACATTATACAAATTTAACAGAACGGGGTATCGACTAGAGTATCAAAGTGAAATGAGATTGAAACTTTAGGGTATCAAAGTATTCAAAAATACTTTGGTATCAAAGTGAGATGAGATCGAAAATTTTGGGGTGTCAAAGCGTTTAAATATTATTTGGGGTATTTAAAGTGAAAAAGGGTAAACTTTAGGGTATTTAAAGTGAAAAAGGGTAAACTTTGGAGTATCAAAATGAGAATAAGCCTTCTATTTATTTCCTTCTTCTTTCCTTTGAGTTAGCAATGAAAATAAAGCAGGTTCATCCATGATTTAAATAATTATTTACAAGTGGCTATGTATTGTTCTATCAGCTGATAGCTATGTTGCATAGACATGGGTACGGGTACGGGACACGACAAATTAGTAAAAAGTAGGGTACAGGAACACGACTGTGTATATATAAAATAATTCACTTTAGATCAATATTAAATTACATACCTACTACATTTTCATGCAAATCAATGGCTTTCAAGGGAATATCAGGTATATATATAACAATTATCTTTCATGTCTCAACCTTTGCTTTTATTTTTAGGTTCTTTCATTGTATTCAAACTCATTCTCAATCTCCCACATGAAACAAGCCCCTTTGAACTATATCCTTTAAAAGGAGGAAAAATAAAAGAAAACAAATCAAACTTCTTTGAAGGTACCCACTGCTACCCTACTACTATTTTTACCAAAAAATAACAAAATTTAATGAGGTATCATGGTTAAACAGCCCCAACTTTACCCATGTGGCACATGATGTCATATTCCACTTAAACAAATTTAAAAAATTAAGAAAAAGGGAATGAGACGTCAGAAAGAGAAGTGAAAGAGAGAGAATTAGCCCCATGTGATGCATGATGTCATGTTCCACTAAAGCAATAAAAAATTAAGAAAAGATGGGGGAGAGAGAACAGAGAGCATCGTCTTCATCTCTTTGTTCAGCCTCAAACCTTAGAAACCATGGCCAATTTTCTTGAAAAAAAAAGGAAAACTCATGGCTAGCGAAAATTTCTCGTGTCCACGTCGTTTGGGTGCGGATCCATACCTAAAACGTGTCGGACACGGCTACGGCCCCCTACTGGCCGTGTCGGGGTATCCTAGGTTGATAGCCATCCATATACTTGTTTCCATTTTCTTTCTTCATTGGATGCACATATTTAGAAGGCACAGTTGCACAGTTTTGACTCGGGGAAGTGAGTTTAAAGTGCCTTCCCTTTGGGGTTTTTATTTTTTATATACTTTACTACTAGCTACTAAAGTTTTTTGGAAGCTACAGTGAAACTTCCAAAAAACTTTGGTATATAGTATCATATAATTTGCATAGATTATGATAATGACGATGATTTACAAACAAATGATGCTGCAATCATTTTGCTTCCTAATAATAGTAACTCTGAAGTATATCATAAGTTTACTTCAGATTAACAAGCCGAAGTCAACCACACTGACCTCCCAGTGCGCAGAACAAGCTCCTCATGTTCTCTAATAAGCTCTTCTGTTAGTACTGGGCCCTCCTGAACATAAATAAAAGTGTGTATAAACATCCCACAATTTAAAAAAAAAAGGAACTGCTCAGTTACAGCGGTACCTGTGTAATCGGCGCGTAAATAGGTTCTCCAGTTTCTAACATGGTTAAACTTTCAGATGGATGATCAGCACCAAGTCTGAGAACATAATCCCCAGAGTTGATTCGAGCATAATGCATATTACTCGAAGAAAGATTTCCTCGAACATGGACGGAATCTTTATTATCTAGATTGGCTTCTTTTAGTGCCGAATCCAATGACTCGGCAGCAACAGCTCGCCGGTGTTTCCTGGCTATACAACAATTCATAACCTGTAATTGCTGATGCAGAAGACAAGAATTTAGATCAGGATTCACATCCAGTGGCATATGAGGTACTGGTTGCTCTTCAGACCATCGTCTTCTCAACTGCATGTATATAACAAAACAATAAACTTAAGTATGAAGAAAAATATATATCACCAGCTGATTTCCAGTATACAGCATTTTAGAAATATATATTGAAACATAATGTCAAAAATAACCATCAAAGGTTTAGTGAAAATCAGAATTTGGAAAGACTGTTTTTGAACTTGAATCCCTGCAACAGGCTTCTCAAGTCCACGTGAACTGAATCACTCAGGTGTATCTAAGAAAGTGACCCACTTATGTTGATTGATTCCTAACAATGTTAATACTTCAAAGAAACAAAATGTTGATCTTAAGGGATTATATGATTCATTGAAAGTTTGAACATAAAAGATGATCAGGTTATAGTAGTACAAACAAGATCGCTAAGTGATAGAAGAGCAACATATGAAGATCTCATTCAACAGCAATTAAATGCAACACGTAACAGAACTTTTATCCTAAATTTTTGGATTGGCTACAAATATAAACTACTAATGTAACACATTAACTCTTAATGAATGTAAAACATATTAACTATTAATGCAACATGCATACTCTTAAAGTCTCTTTCACTACACCAAAAATACAAAACTATTGTGAAGGTTGAGGCCTTGAGGGTTATAATTTTATGCTCCACATGTTCTGGCAGCGGCAGGTTGAGGGCCTTTCCATGGGCCAACTTTGTGACCATTAAGAAGGAGAAGGCATTGAATAGATATTAGCAGCCACCAAAACCTCTTATGTCAATGCAAACTCTGGTTTGGCCCTCTCAATTTTGGGTTTTGCTTTGGCTAGAGTGCTTTGTTTTCGAGGAGCTCAGTTTTGTAAATGAATGTTTGTCTGGTCTTTCATATTCATTGGCCAACTTAAGAAAAATGTCCTTCATTTCCACTTTAGGATAGAGAAGTGTGATGTCTTGCACACCTTGGCTCATACAAGTGCTCAGCTACTTTTGAATGCAGCCAAGATACCATACGTTTCAAGAGTTCATCCTTGACTAAAACCACATCAAAGAATCAAGGGATAGCATCAGAGATTTAGATGGTAAGACTTCAATTGTGCAGTTAGGTTATTGGCATAATCAAGAAGGGCAAGAAGTTTCAGAAGGATGAGATTCTTGCATTACACTATTCTTAAGTTTTCTACTGATATTTTCTACCTTTCTTCCTTTCCTCTCCTTTTTAAAATTTTTTTCCAGTCAGAGAATTTTTTTTACTACTGATTGAAAACTAAAAGAGGATCTGCCAGAATTAATTGGCAAAGACAAATAGCTGACCTGAGATTTAATTGACTAATGTGAGGTGATGAGATCAAATCCTAACTGCATTAGACTTCACCGTGGAAGAGTTGGTTATAGCGAAAAGAAATGATCAAAATCAGAATGCTTTAATTTGGTATACATGTCTGGTTAGTTATGTATCCTTCTATGAAACTTTACGCTTCTTAGTCATGTAAGCAAATGATTGGTCATACAAACACATCTTGCTAGCTAAAATCTTCTGTTATGTCAGAATGGGCTTTTGGCTCAAATTAAGCTAATATTTACTTTTGAGTCTTTGACAATCCGAAACGAACTTTAAATGCTCAACTAGCTCTTCCAGGCCATTTTGAGCTCTTCTTGTAGAGTTCTATCAAATGAGATTTTGTTTCCGTGAGATATAGCATACGTGTAAGACCATGATATTTGCATAGTATTTTCCACCCAGATTACAATAGTGGCAGCAAAGTCAATAACAACATATTGGACAACGAAAGTTAAATAAAGTCGACAAAATAAAATGCTACCTCAGACAAGGAGTAAGGAGTGAGGGCTAGTCTGGTATTGCTGAAGTTTATAATAAGTTGCTTATAAAAGCAGCTTATACAAGTAACTTATATAAGCTGCTAAAAATAGCAATTTAGTAATCAAATATCAAAAACTGCTTAAAAATAGCTAAGGTGTTAGGTAGAACTGTGCTTAATGCTCATTATTAAAAGATAAAAGATATATATGGTATATAAACTTTAAAAAAAGTAGAAGCTGCTTTTAAAATCATTCTCGAGTTGCTTCTAAAAGCACCCCGTTCAAATCGAAAGCAATTTTAGTATCCATGCCAAAAGAAATTTCAGCCAAACACCATTATTGAGTGTTTCTTAAAAAAATAAGCAGAAGCACATTAAAAAATCAATATCAGTTAAATAACTAAATATGTTCTTAATTGATGTAAGAACTTTCTCTACTAAGAGTGCTACATTGTTCCCATGTTTATAGTTCTATCAACTATTTCTTTCAATGGCGCCTTGCAAGTTAGAGATTTATTATATGTTATCTAATAAATATCTCTAAAGCAAGTGGATGCAAATAAAATTTCAAAGTCAAAAGGACTGTCACTTAGAGAATAAAGTGGATCATCTACTTACCTCAACAACAACATATCCCCAAAATAATGCCATTTCTTGTAGGGATTTGAATCCTCCCATAATCTCAGAAAGCCGAACAACAAAACTTTCAGGGGGTGCCCCACGGATATCCTTTGATAAATATGCAATGGAGGGGCTTCCTGAATCAGCTCTATTTCTCCTTCCACTGTGTTCTTCCTCTGTGAATATCTTGCGCATATTACAATTGAATTATTGAAGTGACTGGTCGCCATGGGTTACTGAAAACTTTAAGATTCAAAATCCCAACATACAATAACAAAGAAGATTTTCTTCTTCTGTTTTACCTGTATCGAACAGAGTGCACATCATAGAACGAAATTCCTCTTCACCAGATTTGGAAATAGATTTAATGGATTTGTCTTCCTTCTCCCGACGAACTATTGACTTCACAACAGAAAACTTTGAGGCTGCTTTTTCTTTGATATGTGAAGGATCCTCATCAATTGTCGAGAAATCATTGATAGAATTAAGATTCTTCCCACTCCTAAACAAATAGAACAATGACTCAATTAAAATAAACTTTAAGAAGTGAACAAGTTTTTATGATAATAGAGGAAAATATACTAGAATTTTTAAAAGCAATAGATAGCTAGAAATTAGATTACACACATAATTAAGTGAAAAGCAAGATCGATTCTATAAACAGCTCTAAAGTATTGTATGTGATGGGAGTGTGCTATGCTCTAAATTATTCTATTTTAAGCTCATACTAGAAAACCAAGCAACAATATATTACAGCGTATGTTGGGTGACAGGCAAGCAATACTAGAAACGTTTTGATGAACCTTTAAAAGCTATAGATGATAAGGTGATGAATAATGTATTAGGATCTTAGAAATAACTAAAGAGAAGCTTCTCATCCAATAATAGGACAGCAAGCCAATAATAGGGCGGCAAGAGCATGTCATCCTACAGAAAACAAACTGGCGATTAGAAAATATAGACAGACAGGGGATGCAGATATTGAAAAGAACCCTTAGAATATATGCATATCATGAAGTCAGACAATAAATTACCAGATATCACAATACATTAGAAACAGGGAGCAGTACAGTTAAAGGCCACTTACTCAAAAGCTGTTGCCAACTGTTTTAAAACAGACGCTTGAGGAATGGTAAGCTTGTTAAAGGTACTTGCGCCAGTTTCCTTCAACACGGAGTCTCCTTCTGAAACCTGACAGGGTGCATGTCAATATTCAGTAGAAACTAACTCTAAGAATAAAGACATTTTTGACCGCACGAGAAGCTTGGATGACAGACCCACCATAAACTAACCATAAAAAATTCAATAAAACAAAAGGATAGAAGTATTATATGAGACACGTATCAAATACGACATGGTGACAATCTTGCACAGAAGAAGAATAAGAAGTAAGAATCTTAAAAGAAAAATCATCATAGGAAGCAGAATAATCATAAGTGAAGCTAGTGCTCGTGTTTTCCAAGTAAAAACTTTTCCTTCTCTTCCTAGTTCCAGCTCCTAGACACAAGTATTATGTCTCTATCTTTCAAGTTTCTCAATCTCTTCACAAATAAAACAAAAATATTTGAAGAACTCATACTCAGTAAAATCTTCTTGCCTCTCCATATCCAGTCTCAAACTTGCAATAAAGCCTGCCTAGACCTTGTGAATTTAACGTGTAGATAAAACCTTTGGCTACATAATTAACAGACATCTTTATCTACTTCAAAATGAAATACTGCAACGTATTCAACATGTAGGTAACCTGAAAGCATAATTAGATCAATCGCATTAAAAACATAGATTTGAAAAGAAATTTAGGGGATAAAAAAAAGGAAAAAGACACATTAGTATAAAATTCAATGCACATCAAACAGAACCTACAATTTTGCCTCGGTACTTCAACAATTAAGAGGAGAATTAAGCTTCTTCCGTCAAAATTAATCAAATATTAGAATTATATAACATATACAAATACCAGTTTAGACCTTGTGATTTAACGTGTAGTGAAAACGTTCGGCTAAATAATTAACAGACATTTTTATCTACTTCAAAATGCAATATTTCAACGTATTCAACATAATTAACAGACATTTTTATCTACTTCAAAATGCAATATTTCAACGTATTCAACATAAAGGAAACTCGAAAGTGAAATTAGATCCGTCATATTAAACGTACAAATCGAAAACGAATT